GGACTTCAGTGGGTTTTTTTTTTAAATAGAAGGAGTCTTCCTACATTGACCAGACTGGTCTCAAACTCCTGGCCTCAAATGTCCTGCCTTGGCCTTCCAACGTGCTGAGATTATAGACATGAGCCACTGCACCTGGTATTTATACTGAAAAGTAATGTATAAATGTCCTTTTAAATATTCCTGTATTATTTTTATACTTATCAATAGGGTATGTGGCAGCAACAAAAATTCAAGTAAGTGACAGAATAAACCAATCACCTAATTGAATTAGATAATTAAAGTAGATATCAAGGAAAAATACAATAACGGAATTCTTGCACAAATACTCATTATGTCAAGCAACAAACACGAGAGAAGGAATCCCCCTAAATATTGATATTTCCAACATGCTCATGCCATGAACTCCTATGATAGAAATGTACCTGCTTTTTCTCTTCATTACCGTATATCAAACTCACCCTTCCAGTGTTTTTCACATGTTACTAGCCCTAAGAATTACCTGGAAATTTTGTTAAGACAGATTCCTGGGCTGCTTTGGATCCTCTATAATTCTAAAAAAGGGCACTGGAATCTCTAGACCTCATAAACATCCCCAGTGATTCCTATAAGGAGAAAATCTTGGAAACACCGGGTTTGATAAATGAACACCTGCCATTGTATCTCACTAATAGACAACCTTTACAGGAGAACAAAAACAAAATCATCTAAATCTAATAATCACTGCACACAGTTATTGATTGGTTACTATTTGCCAAGAACACATGATTATCTCTTATAATCTTTGTAATTCACCTTTGAAATTGTTTTAACTTTATGCATATAATATTAAAACAGGGAGACTGAGCCCTGAGAAGTGCCCTGCTAGGTCACACAGCTAATAAGAAACAATGCCAAGGAAAACTGGTAGGTGACAGTCCCAGGTGTCTTTCCTCCAGCTTGCAGGTGACATTTCCTGGGTCAGCCCCTGAACATGCTTCAAGTTTAACACACCTATGGAGTTGAGACATGATGGGCTTGGAACTTAAGAAGCTGGGCTGACTGATGACATATTACACAGCTCTGGTTGTGCACTCAGGATGACATGTGTCTTAGGAGTCTTCCTATTCTTGTGATAGAGGTTGGAGAGAAAAATTAAGAAGATGGGAGTTGTGTGGGGTTTTTTTTGTTTGTTTTTTGTTTTTTTTTTTTTGAGATGGAGTCTCCTTTGTCACCCAAGCTGGAGTGCAGTGGCATGATCTCAGCTCACTGCCATAAAAGACATTATTGAGACAACTGGCAAAATTTGAATAAGCTGTGTAGATTAACAGTATATGTGTTGTTAATATTCTGATTTTGATAACTATGTTTATATAAGACAATATCCTGTTTTTAGGAAACAAACACTGACTATTTAGGGATAAAGAGACATACATCATATTTACAATTTACTCTCAAGTGGCTCCGAAGAAGTGTGTGTATGTGCGTATAAAATTGGGTAATCTGAGTGAAGGATATTTGGGAGTTTCTTTAATGTTTCTGCAACTTTTATGTAAGTTTTAAAATTAAAATTGTTTGAAATATTAAAATATTTCAAAGCAAAACGTTTAAGAATTATACTGGAAAGTTATAATTAATAATTTTCTAAGGAGCAAATTTAATTTTAATTACATACACACATACAGAAAAGAATTTTGGAAGAAAGAGAAAGGAGAAAGGGAAGGCAAGAGGAAGGGAAGAGAAAGCAGTGAAGAAAGAAAGGAAGAGAGAATCAGAGAGAGAAAGGATGAAGAAGAGACTTGGGTTTTGGAAATCCTAATAAAACCTATCAATTCAACGGCCAACTTTGTCATTTAGTAGCTGTTGTGTGACCTTGGTTACACTCCATAGTTACTCTGAGCCTCCATTTTCCAGCCTATAAGATTGAGATAATAGTACCCTCTGCAGGGTGGTTGTGAGCAGGAAAGGAAACAACATCTCTAACAGCCAGAGCCTTGATGAGGGAAGAGGGGTCAGGGCACAGGGGAGGGTCTTGCCTCTGTTTTGCCTCCCCATTGGCTCTTCGCCTACCCCAGAGACAGGGAAACGCATTGTGAATGGCTGTTTCTGAGGAGCAACACTGCCTAGGCTGCCATATGATTTCCAGAAGACAAAGGAAGGATTAAACTGGACATGCTTAGAAGGCTTCCAGGGTCACTTACCCTTTCCTTACTTTTTTACCTTCAAGAATGTGATCAACCACTTTAAATGCTTCATCAACATTTCCATATTCCAGCTTCCTTTCTGGTTTGAAGAAGGAGTTGTGTTGTATAGCTTCCTAGAAAGAGAACAGAAGAGTGAGGCGTCCTGGGCAAGAGATGCTGCCCTAGGGTGGCAGCCACGCCCCACTGTGCATCCTCTGAGCAGGGACTGTTCCTCCCTTCACCTTGTGGTCCCATGCATTTTCACCATGACCCTGGTGAGCCAAGCTAAGAATCCAACTGCAGAGAAACTCCCCCGTGAGGAAATGTAGATGTGCCCACTGAGTCGAAAGAAATAATATGCACAGAACAAAACTGGCACCTAAGTGATCTCAGAATGAAACTAGTATTTTCCAGGCAGATTATTCTCTTCACCCCACAATCCATTTCATGCAGCCAAGGCCATACAGCACAGAGCTTCAGAGCCTGCGCTCTAGACCTAGACCCCATCATGCACATTTTCCCCATTTACCAGCTTTGACTGTGAACCTAACACTTCACCTCTCTTATCGCCGTCTATAAAATGAAAGTAACAGGTGTGTGTATAGCTCCAATAGGATTGTGGTTGGTGAAGATAAAATGAAATAAGACATGTGAAGACCTTATGTGGCATATAGTAAGCATTTAATAAATGCTAGTTGCAGACACTCTAGTGATTGGGATCATGGTGGCTCTGCCTGCCAGTCCCACATTCCTTCTTTGTGGGGATGAGCATTTCATTTGCACAGGGCAGTAGAGCACCTGGGACCTCCAGCCCTGGAAGTAAGATTTCAGACAAGTCCTGTCTGGGTGCTGTGTACAAATCCATGCATACACTGGCCCCTATTGGCTCTCCCTGGGTGCCCAGTGAAGGGGTATGGTGGTGTACATAACCAGAGATGTAGTTACAATAACATAGATTGGTTTTTAGCTATCCCTGAGAATTTATCTTGCAGTAATCCATGTGTCCACTGACAAATGTGGTATGCCAGCTCCTGCTGGCATTAACTACTGTGAGTTGTCCATCCATGAAGTTCCATTCTGTTGATGGTTGGGGATTCTCTTATCTCTGTTTTCTTCTGGCCACCAGTAGGTGTCTAGACAACACCCCTTAGAGGGATGTGCTATTGTGATTCTGCCATTTCCCCTATTCAAAAACAGGTTGGTTTGTTTATAGCACAGGTAGGGCAGGTTCTTTGACAGAGTGTTTGTTTAATTGCTTTTGTTACTGACTAGCTATGTAACCTTGGGCAACCCTTTTAGTTTCCCCATCAGAATGGGGATGGAAAATAGTTTTTACCTCATAGGATTGTTGTGAGCATTTTGTAGGTGAATGTGTGAAACTGACCTAGAACCATGTCAACCATATAGTGAGCTCTGTATAGGTCCTAGCTATGATCATGCTGCTTTGGTGATTATTATTCATGACAGATTCTGGTAGGGAACACTTTTTTTTCACTATGGTCATCAGCCTTACCCCTTATGCAAGAGTTCTGATTATTTCCCCATTCCATCTACTCAAAACTCAAAAAGCATAAGTCAGATTAGATCTTTGTGATAGTGACAGAGATATTTGTTTTTGTTCTATTTTTATTGATAACACACTTCCTATTGGAATCAGTCCATATGCTTTCCTTATTAATCCAAGATTAAAGAGATTCCAGGTTGGAAAGAGAAAAGAAGCTAGGTTTCATAAATCCTATTTTTAAAAGTTTAATCTTTTTCAACTTCACTGGCTGCTTGCTCTTTGAGTAACCTTGAGCCAATTTTCTGAATTTTTCTTAGGAAAGTGATAAAAGGAATGTAATGTATAGGGAGAGGGGCATATTTCCCTGCTATAGACTTTGATTAAATCCACTCTGATCCAGTTGATAAAACTTTGAGAGCTTAATCTCTGAACACAATGTGAGGCAATTCTTTTCCACAAAGCCAAAGCTTGTATCTGATGCTGGGATTCTCTGGCAGACAATCACAAGTCTGCTGGCTGATGTGTGGAGGCCTGGAAAAGTGGCATCTGTTATACTTGCTTATCAGGACTTTTATTCAGCTGGAAGGTAGGGGGAGCGAAGAGTAGATATTTTTAGCCCGTGGTATTGGGCAAAGAATTAGAAACAAAATAATTTCTAATAAGTAATTTTAACTCTCCAGCAAAACTTCAGGGGATGGAATATATGAAGCATGCAAGAACAGCAGGCAACATGTAAATGAAAAGGGCCTGAGAAGGGAATAGAATGTTTGGATTTGAAACTGGCCAGGAAAATCTGGGAGGTCTAAACACGCTTTGACTCCAACTAAACTTTTAAAATTTTGTCTTTTTAACATGATTTTAATTTTAAAACATAAGAAAAATTCCCAGAGACAAACTCCATGTTCCTAGGCATCAAGCAGCACAGCGGGAAGCACCCCCAACACCCGGTTCTCTTGGAGACCCTGATCGTGACCAGGTCGCTTCCTCAGTTCTGCCTCAGGCCACACTAGTCACCCAGAGAGCAATGTGTTCATTATGCTGTGAGGCTGCTATTGTGTCCCAGAGCACATGCAGCCTGTATGGACTGAATCTAATCTATTTACGCTACCTCCCCAATGTTCGTAGGCTAGATCTCAGGATTTGTGCTTGGAATGCTGGGGCAATAGGGTTCCTCTTACTCCTTGAACATGAACAAGGAAGCTCAGGTTGTCCTGGTGGCCACCTGTGACCACAGGAGATCAAGCCTGAATCGTGGGCAGCAGAGAGTTAGCGGCAAAAGAAACTGTGTCCTTGGGGAAATTGTTAATCCTGAGACTGTTTAGAGGTCACTAAAGTCCCTGTATTCTGGAAGCCACTTTAACCCACATTTTTCTGTTACAGTAGCCAAAAGCATTTTAATCGATATTTGTTCTGGCTCCCAACTGGCACCACCATGGAACTCATTACCTCGATTGTTAGGATCAGTGGCTCCAAGTCTTGATAGATAATCTTTACTCGCTTAGCAGCTCGCTTTGCCTGAACCTCAGAATCGGCAAGCACGGCACAGACAAGGTGACCCACACAGAACACCTACGACACAGAAAGACCTTTGTTGTCAAGGAGGGCAGGCATCAGTTCCTCTCTTTTATTCATTTCTTCCTTCTTCCTAGTACTAGATCACACTAGGGCTAGGGCTAGATACACACTAGGGCTAGGGCTACACACATGCAGATGCGACCCCTGCACATCAGTCCATGACTATAACCATAGCCGGCCTCCTGATTACAGGCACTAGGGGAAGTTTAGACCCTTGTGCTCTATCAAAGGAGCATGAATGATGTCTTTAGGACAGCTGACTCAGACTTCAGGCCAAGCCTATGAGGCTACGTGAGGGCCAGCCTGTCCCATGGCTTGAAATGTAGCTGTCACATGACAACCAGAGCTGTTCTGAGAGAAACAGCCTCTGCTTTCATGGACAGGGAGAACCAGGGAGTCACAGTTCATCTCAGTCAGAGAGTAAAAGGGGGTGACTTGGGAAGGAAAGTCCCCTTTGATAACAGAACAGTGCTGGTGAGCACATCTCTCCTCACAAACTGCCTTTTCATGAAAAGACTTCATAGCCAAGATGCAACCAAGCAGATAGCATCCCCTTCCTGGGGGGCTGGCAGCTAGGATTATTCACCTGTGGGTGGGGCAGCTAGACTCAGGAGTTCACACAAGGACCAGAGCAGAAGATGGGGAAAATAAACCTTAAGACTTGAGAAAGGTAAAAACAGTCCGGACTGGAAGAAGTCACCATTACTGCTGAGTTCTCTCTCCTACCTTATGCTGTAAGGATTCACAATTCCAATGTAATCACTCATTTTAAAAATAGGCTTTAAACTATTATGTCTTTTCCACGATGAACGTAAAGCAGTTTTATCAACAGAAAAAAAGGTATTAAAAACATTAAATCTAGCATGAACACAGAAAAGTGTATTCGTTGGAAGGGGACAGTGAAAGACAGAACAATGAAACAAGAATGGCAATGTGTTGGTAATTGTTGAAGTTGGGTGATGAATCTCTGGGGTTCATTGTACAATACTTTTCTTTTTTTGTGTATGTTATAACTTCTACAATGAAAACTTTTTAAAAAGGCATTAAGTGCCATAAATGAATATTTTAAAAAGCATTAAACCAATAAAGGCATCATTCACAATGGCACTGTTCTTTGCTCTCCAAAGATGCCTGATTTTGCTCCTGTGACCTGGCACATAGATGTGGCCCCTACGGTGCTTATACTCTTCATAAGGACATCTCAGAGAGCAGGTACTATCATGCAATTGAGACCAGTTTCGCTTTATTTATTTATGCAAAGGCCTTAAATTCTCACTGACTCTGCCAGTGCTGCACAGCCCTGCTTCGGGGGAGTTTCAACCTTGAGTTCCAACTCTCAGTCATCAAGCTTTCATTTCTATGAACCATATCTTCCAGGGAGTATCTTCCAGGGAGAGCCAGAGGAAGGTACTGTTTCAAATTATGAAGGCCTTTTGGGTAAACACTGAACTGAGCAGTCTGTTATGCAGAAAACCTGCTGACTGCTGTCCTTGCTGTAACCAAAGTTTTAATCATTTGCAACTTTCACAAGGCAACAATATTATCACTATCCCTCTATTCATTCACCCTGCAATGTGGGAAGCAGTGTGTGGAATACACAGATGAATCAAACATGGATCCTCACGCACAGAATTTATACTAGGTAGAGGAAATATATAAGACAAAACCTAAGACAAATAAACAAGCTTAACACAAGGTAGCAAGTACATTGAAGGTCACTTCATTTTCTCCTCTAGACTTTAAGCTGCATGAAAGTATAAATCATACATAACTTGTTCAGTGATGGTGACCAGACATCATAGATGCTCACTTTTAAAAAGCCCATTTAGTCCGGGTGTGGTGGCTCACGCCTGTAATCCTAGCACTTTGGGAGATGGAGGTGAGCGGATCACCTGAGGTAAGGAGTTCAAGACTACCCTGGCCAACATGGTGAAACCCCGTCTCTGCTAAAAATATAAAAATTAGGTGTGATGGTACGTGCCTGTAATCACAGCTATTCAGGAAGCTGAGGCAAGGAATCGCTTGAACCTGAGAGGCAGAAGTTGCAGTGAGCTGAGATCATGCCACTGCCCTCCAATCTGGGTGACAGAGATAAACTCCATCTCAAAAAAATAAATAAAATAAAATAAAAAGGCCATTTTAAGACATGGAAATATGAATGCATGAATCAGAATAAGTTGAGAGAGAGAGAGAGAGAGAGAGAGAGAGAGAACTATTTCTGGATTAAAGAATAAGGAAAAAGGCTTTATGGTATAGATATGACTTGAACTTGTAGTTGAACTGACCACACGGAGACTGGCACAATAATAAGGGATTCTCGGGGAAGGGATTTCCAAATAAAAGTTATCATGAAGATGTCTTTATTTACTCACTTATACCATTAGCAGCATGCCATCTCACTATTAGAAAATATAAAACACCAAATAATCTTTTATATAACTAATGTCTTACTTATATGGAAAATGAATATATTTTTATAAAAAGCATTCTAAGAATACTGCAGTCTTTCACGGTGTACCAAATTAGATGGTTTCTTTAAGAAAATATGAAGCACCATTAACTGAGAAAGTTATTTTTCAAACAGAAAGCGAAAATGCAGTACCTTATCTGTTGCCAGAAATGTCTCAGTTTCGGTGAAAAAGCAGAAGGAATTGACGTCACTAAGATGTTCTGCTGTCATGATGTCCACTACACCGGGCATGCTGAGAGCTTCTGACAGATCAATAGACCTAGGTGGTATACACAGCAGAGCTCCTGAGAGTGGCCATAAAGCCCGAGAACATGGTTAATTGGAAAATAAGATATGAGAGATGTAAGAACTGTCCAACAGTCTCTGCCAGACAATTGGGAAAAAAATTCTTGGGACAATGAAGTTGTAGTAAATCCTACATTTCAATCCCATTTCATGTCTGGTCTGAATTGGGTATCACCAACAAATAGCCTATTTATTCACACCATTACTTTTCACTAATGTGACTTAGATGAAAAAGCAGTCATTTGCGCCCATTGGATAAGAACTTTATCACTTACACAATCTTAGCATGAGCTCTTGAACTAGTCACAAAAGTCAAGAAAAGTTCCTGGTCCACCAGAGGCATGTCATCACAGTAGATGGCCTCCCCTGTGGCATGCTTCACACCAGACAGATGCATGATGGGGTGGCCAACTGGGTCTTCAGGATGCTGCTTTGGGCCTATTTTCTGTTTAACGAATAACCAAAATATACTTTTATATTTCTACAGAGAAGGCAGGAATAGTCTTATTATACACAACTCCTATAAGAAGGCAGTATAACCAGAAGAACACTTTGCATATGAAAAATCACTATTGGGCTAGGCACAGTGTCTCATGCCTATACTCTCAGCACTTTGGAAGGCTGAGGTGGGCAGATCACTTGAGGTTAGGAGTTCGAGATGAGCCTGGCTAACATGGTGAAACTCTGTTTCTACTAAAAATTAAAAAAAAAATTAGCCAGGTATGGTGGTTCACGCCTGTAATCCCAGCTACTCAGGGTGCTGAGGCTACAGAATCGCTGGAACCTGGAAGACAGAGGTTGCAGTGGGCCGAGATCACACCACTGCACTCCAGCCTGGAAGACGATAGAGACACTATCTCAAAGAAAAAAAAAGTCACTATTAGTAACACCAGGAAAATAAACCTACTACCGTAATTCATTAGGCCAACTGGTATGTCGATCCATGTTTTTATTTTTCACTTTTTAAAAAATATAGACCCCAAATATCACTAATGGAAATTCCATTTGTGTAAGTAAACAAATTTAAATCTTTCTTCTTGATAGTATAAAGTTATGTCCTCTTGCCAATACTTATGTATCTCTTTAAATTTTATTATCAAAATGACTTTACTGTTTCTATATAAGCATGACACATATTTTACGGAAGAGTATGATGATATCATGACTATGTTTATAGAAAATATTGAGGGTATTACTTCAACCAGAAGAGCCTTTTTTTTTTTCTATTTTGAATGAGGAAATATAAGAAATAATTGGCAAAACTCTTAACTTAGACAATCCTTGTAGAGAATGAAGCCAAGGGAACCTGCAATTGGAGCAATGATTCACTAATGTTCTTTCTTAGGGCCCCAGGGAGCAGAATGTCTTCCTGGTGGCTCTGTAAATACCTCAAATGTGCTTCATTAACCAAAGTGGAGATTAATCAGCACAACGTCTGCCCTGGTATTTCAAATATGGGAGTTTCTGACTTTCCCATTTGGGTGTATATTGTGAAAAGAATTGAAGGCATGAAGAAAGAAGGAGAAAGAGAGTGAAGAGACATGATATAAGCTGAGCTCAGAGCCCAGGGTGAAGGCTGTGGCTGAGGAGTAGCCTGCTAAGCCGTGGCGGGCGCCCCCATCTGTAACTCACTGTGGCAGCATTGCACTCGGTGCTGGGACTGAGGCCAGACTCCCAGAGGCTTTCTCTGGAAGACCTGTGGGTGAGGGGCATACAGTCATGTTGGCCAGATTGAGGTCAGGTAAAAGCTATGGACACCTCCCCTTTCCATCCTGCAGTTCACATGATCACCCTGAGTCCTGGATCTTCCTTTGAGATGAGCCTTACAATACCAGGCTACACATCAGTGGGAAGGACGGAAGAGAGAACAAGTCACCAACAGAACACGTACTGCTTAAAAATCTTTACTGGGAGAAAAAAGAAGAAACAGACCTATTTCCCACATGGTGTCCTTCAAGGCATCTGAAGCAGGGAGAAAAGCTAAATTCTTTTGCATTTGATTACCAGAATGTGCAGTTTGAGAAAGCCTATTCAATATATTTCACAGCTGTGAACAATAAGTTAGATATTGAATCCGTCTAAAATAGTATCTCATTTCACTCTTCACTGTAAATTTTCCTATTTCAAAGTCTGCCCTGGTCCAGTGAAAGTGCTCTAAGGCTCTTGCTCTATGGAACTGAAGAGAAGCTGTCTGGATTCCCCTGATTAACACATTCCCTTTTCCTGCAGATGTTCTACTTTCCTTTCCTTTCTGGACATTTGTATTTTATTCATCCAATCCCATAAATGGAGGAGAGCTCTGGTTATAATGTAGAACTTTACTTAAGACAGCTGTGAAACGTACAGTTCTCCAACACCCTCTGCTGCTCCAGAGCTTGAGAAGGGTGCCCTCCACTCACTACCAAACTACTTAAGGTCCTCAAAAACATAAACCTCTGGCTGGAGTTAGAGATCAGAGATTCTCCAGGCAGGTGGCATGCCTGGAATATCAGTAGGGAATGGCACGGTGGCATGTGTTGAGAACATGTTCAACATCATTATTGATGATTTGAAAAAAGAAAAAAAGTATTGTTTTCATAATGTAAATGACAAGGAGTAAAATGTTAACCAAATTGTGGCTGACAGCTATGCACAGAAAGTAGTGTAATTTCTACAATTACCTTGGTGTAAGACGTGTGTGGGATGAACTTATTTTATATAAAATTTACTGTTTTACTGCAAAATAAACACTGTTGATAAGCATTTTTTGCTTTAATTTCATACTTGTTTTACTTAAATCTAAACTTCCATTTTGTAGTTAGTATAATACAGTGCATAAAAAACAGAGTATTGACTAAGTTTTTGTTTTTTCCTTTTCAGTCATTGTTGAGTCATCCATAATCTAGGAAGCAGGAGACTATCGAGAAAAATAATTTAGACCTTGGCCCAGGTACCGTTAAATAAAGGTAGATATTAGGCCACTAATGTAGGGGACTAGGGAAAATTAGAGAAAATTTTAGTTATTGGGGTTTGGGCATGAGGACAGATTGGAGGCAGTCCCAATGCCCCAGCTCTATTGACGTAGCTCACACTGCCCTGTCCTCATGGCAAAGGGCTCCCAGCAGTTCTCCTCTTTCCCCTCCACTTTGAGGAGCTGAGATCGTGATGAAAAGGAAGAAAAACCCAACAATGTAGGTTCTACCAGGTGTGGTTTTTCATATGTAACAGATGGTAAGAATTGACTTCCTCTGTAAAATATCTCCCAAAGTGCTGAGCTGTGATGTTTCTTCAGCTCCCAACCTGAACCACATTTGAGCGAAAAAAATCACTCACATCTTTTTAAAACTCTAAGAAGTTTTTTCATCCTGAAAACCAAAATTTCAGATAATTCATGAGCTCAGACATTAAGGAAAGACACTCATAGGTATCTGTAATGGGTCTGGGAGTTAACTGACATAACACTTTTCACTGTAACCAACAAAACACTCAATAACATTGGAAAAAAAAAAAGTCTTTTGAAAGCATGCTGTGTGAGGCCTGCCAAAAACTGAGGAAAAATTCCAAAAAATGTCTTTGTCCTATAGTCAAATATAAAGTTGATTATTTTAAAGATATCACACTTTTTTTTTTTTTCCTGTCAGTTGTGATAAATCTACTGGTGAAAGAGACTGTCAACTACCTGCTTCTGCTTTGTATTTGGCTAAAGATACTGTGGAATAAAGAATGTTGTCTCCTCAAACTGGTGATCTTTGGAAGCTGTGCCAGAATGCTTTCAAAGCCAATGAACTGATTTAGGGGAAAAATGCTCTTCGTGATTGCTGACATTGCTCTAGTAATGTGGATATTTGTATATGTGTGTGAAAAACCATGGGCAAAACAAAAACAAAACTCATCTATATGGCAGACACATTGTATCTAAAACTTTGTTTTGCAACCAATGATAAACTCTCATTCAAGATCATGCACTATGTGAAAATTTCCTTTTTTCTTTGGATGATTTCAATATCCATTAATTTTGTTGTTGTTTCTTTCTGAGGTTTATTCCATTGTCCAAGAAATATTAGGATATTTATAAGTCAAAGGTTTGATTATCATATTTTAAAAGAATACCAGGGAAGATGACAGCTGTTTTTAAATTTCAAAATGATCATTTTCAATGGAGTTTGGTGCATTTTAATTTTTAAACATATTGAACCTAAAACCTCAAGGAATATACACCAACTGCAATGTTATTATGACATACTATAAGCTTTTACAACTAAATCCAACAATAGATTCAGTGAACAAATGCTTTAAAAAGACTTTTCATGTTCTTGACTTATTAAAACTCTCAAGGTCAAGTTTCCTGATAATAATTTCAAGGAAAAACACATCAAATTGTATTCACTTTACCAACAGGGTGACTTCAGGCAATATTTTTACGATATGGCAGAAAATTCCATTTGAGAGTTAGGAATTCTGTTCTCTAATAGCCTTTATTGGGAGAGCTTATAAAAAGCTCTTAGAACTTACATTTGATTCAACTTTCAAATGTAACTCACAGAAAAATCACTTGGAGAATAGGGATTGAGGGAGTAAAATATGTTCACATTCAAGTAAACAAATCAGCAGTTCTTTTTAAAAGCATTATTGCATCTTCATCAACTGCCAGGGGCTGTGTCTTTTCCTCTGAAAATGAAAGCAAAGCAGCTCATGGCCCTGCCGCAGAGTGTGGCTTTATTGGACTCTGATGCCTTGTAGTGCTCAGGGCAGAAAACACGTGGCAAGGTGGGCAGTCCGTGGGTGTCAGTGGTACAAGGCCTTAGTGCAAAGCATGTGACCTTTAAGACCCCAATCAACATTTTTCTTTAATATTATCACTGCCAGATTTGTCTTTAGTCACAATTCTTCATTGATTTCAAAATTTTAATTTCCCCTAAAGAAGGCTATGAGTTCACCAGAAGAGGAGCTTGAACTTACAGAGTTTGAGTTTCACAGAGAGACAATGGGAATGTCCAGGTCAAAGCACTATAGCCTGGACTCTGGATTTTTAAAAACAAAAATACCACTCACCTGGTACTTTAATGTACTGCAGTGATGTCTGGAATGAAGATCTTCTAAAGCACTTGCATACTTGTCTGCAAGCCTGGGATAGTGAACTGAGTTCTGAAAAGTAGAACCATTGCAGATACTTTAAATGGTTTGAATGTGCCGGAATGGTTTTGGAAGGGAGGCTGGCATGAATCTTAGCAAGCATCTCTACTTTGAAGTCTCACATGTATTAAGCACTCATCCTATTCAGAACCCTGGAATATAAGCAACTCCCTGACTCAAGGACACATACTCTGAAAGGTGCATACATACTCCCTCGTATTATGAATAGCCAGATCAATATAGTAGGTAACTGGCTTCTACCATCTCTATGTTTCTATGATTCTCTCATATACTCTCCTAAATGATTTGAGGACTTATAAACTGATCCAACAGGAAGACAGAAGATAAGTAAGTAAAATGGAAAGGAAGAAAATTCTTAAGCCAGGAAAACAACAGAGTCAAAGTTCACCATTGCAAATAAGCGTAAAACTGTTCCATGTTGCCTGCCAGCTATGTAGAAAGGGGGACACAGGCTGCCTCCCTGCTGCTGCCCCACAGTGGGAAGGATTCTGTTCCAAAACAAGAACATTCCTTGGGACTGAGGGAAGTGAGTCATTTAGTTCTTTACACAAGATTGAGAACATTGTACAGCCTACAGCCAGATGGGGGAAAAGGCTTTCAACAATACACCTGGTGGTTATTTTTTTCTAATTTAAATAATTTTAATAGAAAATAAAACGAGCTAGGTGCCATGGCTCATGTCTGTAATCCCAGAATTTTGAGAGGCCAAGGCAGGAGGATTGCTTGAGTCCAGGAGTTCAAGACCAGCTTGGGCAACATAGTAAGACCCTGTGTCTGCACAAAAATAAAAGAAATTAGTCAGGCATGGTGGCGCATGCCTATGGTCACAGCTACTCAGGAGGCTGACCTGAGAGGTCAAGCAATCCAATGAGAGGATTGCTTGAGCCCAGGAAGTTGAGGCTGCCATGAGCTATGATATCACACCACTGTACTCTAATTTGGGTGACAGAGTGAGACTCTGTCACAAAAAAAAAAAAATTAAAACCAATAAATGCTATTATTTTTAATGAGAGGAGGGGTATAAGACTAAAAGCAAAAGTTTTAAATTATATCAGTTGAGTCACCCAGAAATTGTGTTAGTTTATTATTAATGGGAGGAGTCTATAATTGGTTACCTGGTGACAATATGACACTTATGTGTAATTTCAAGTTTTCATTCTTAAAAATGTGATACTACCTTTCTGGTTCCTGGCTGTTCCCACCTACAATGAGAAGATACCCTCAAAAACAAGGATAAGAGAGGACTTTGTGTCTCCTATTTAAAGTGACCGCACTAATTTCTATACCGCAGGAAGACTGTTCTTGGCTTCTAGTCTAGTTTGGTCAGCTGGTTATAGCATGGGGTTTGTGAGGCCAATAAGGTTCAAGTTTCCTTGGGGCCTAACAGATTTATTCAGAGATTTTTTTTTTTTTTAGTTGTATCCTCCCCAGCCAACAATCTTGTAGCACTAACTGTTTGCCCTAAGAGAGACCTGGCAAAATAATGCATGGATTATTGCTCCTATTATTATGCATACTACTATGGATTTCCTCTGAAGCACTAGGGACCTACAATGACACATTTCACAATCATCTTGTGTGGTGGCTGCCATCGTCACCTTATGGGCTAGAGAAATGAAGCTGAATCTGGGAAAGAACACCAAACAAACACATGAAGTAAACCTCAAGGTGAGGGTAATATCTCAAGAGGAAAAAATGCCCTATGGAGGGAAAACTTATTCCTTATTCAAATCATTAGCAAGTTTTCTGAACATGATCTAGAAAAACTGCAGGTCAGAAACAAAATAATTGAGTGGCTTTAAATACAAACTTTCCCAACTCTCGGCTCTACTTGCAATTCTTCCCCAAACTCATACCCATCCACACACGGGCTGAGCAACGCCCGGCAAGTGCATGTGTTTCAAACATGGATTGTCTTTTTTATTCTACAGCCATTTGGTAGGGAGTCATTGCCCCTACTTTGGGTGTCATCATAGTTCCCAGTACCAGGGAAGTTAATGTGTAACCCGTTCTGTTTACCATTTTTTTCAAAATCTGTGACACTTCCAGGTAGAATTTGAAGAGGAAGCTGATGATGAGGGTCCTCTTGAACTCCACCTTCCCACCTGGAGCCGAGCCCGGAAGAGAGACTTCATCCAGAACAAGCCTGCAAGCTGTATCCAGCATTTCTTCATTCCAGTGCCTAGAAAGTCCAAAGAGAAGACTCCTAGCCTAACAGGGTTTATTATTCCATATCTTCATCTAACATGTAAGGCAAATAGCCAGTTTTACACAGGAAATAAGAGTACAAGCTCTGGAGTCAGGCAGCCTGAGTTTAAACTGGCCCTCTCAAGGTGTTTAGCCTAGGTCCTGCCATGTCCTCATCTGTAAAAGGGGAATATTAGTAGAACCTAACTCACAGAGTGATCTAGAGAAATAAATGACAACTCATATAAAATTCATAGTCCAGGAGTAACTGACCTCATATCACTAGGACATTTACTGCATGCCAAGTTCTGCTTTTATTATGTATTCACTCATTTAATCCTCTCAACTGCCCTATGAGGTACATATGATCAACCGTCTTTGACATATAGGGAACCAAAGTAGCAATATAATTAAGTAAGCTGACTGAGATGATGGAGGAGTTAACAGAGGCTGAACTGAGATTTGGGCCAGGCAGTCTGGGTTTCTCAAGTTTTAAGCTCATGCTTTTAATCCTTATGCTTTGTTATGGCAGCTGATACCAAGTAATGCTCAAGAAATATTAGCTATTAGTATCACCTATAGATATAGGAAATCAGGTAAGCAAGTGCTTGTAACAACTTATTATAGAACAAACTCTCATACTTGGTTTTTCATCATGGCAAATTATTCTCCCAAAATAAAGAATGCAAATTTGCACGGGGGAAGCGCTCTCTCTCTCTCTCTCTCTCTCTCTCTCTCTCTTCCACTCTTACATACATATACACAGACAGAATATATAATTCTCACTTCAGATATATGGAAATAATAACAAAATCTTATTGGAATTCCCAGCCATTAAATAAAAAAGGTATGGAGCATTTTTCTTCTTGTAATCACATCTCACCACAAAAAGGGCTGCTCTAATACTTGGAATCTAAGGACAATGCCTTACCTTCCAATGACTTTCTGGCAGGAATTCTTGGCACAGATGGTGGTTGGACCAATGCCTCCATATGAGATGGATAATTCCCTTATAATGCCATCCTCTTCTCCAAAAAAGACTCTCATTCCCGAATTGACTATTGCTAGTGCATTCTCTTGCCGCTGGGCTTGTCGGAAGGCTGACACAAATTCCCACTGAAAGAAACAGTTAAGTGGCACATGTAGAAACACTGAGCATCACCTATGCTCCAGACAGTCTGTGTGGGTTGAGCATGATCTACACACTGGCCAGTCTGTGTATGTTGAGTGTCACCTTGATATCAGACGTGTAGCCCCTAGCATCTCCAATAAAAAGTCAATCTCTGTTGTTGAGGCCACCCAGCATGTGTTTCTTTGTTATGGTAGCCCTAGCAAACTATATATCCTCTGAGGCAGGCTTGATTATTCCCATTTTACAGAGAGGAATTCAATGCGCGGAGGATTCAGTAATTAGTTCAGGTCTTGAAACCAGGATTCAAAACTGACTCTGTCTCATGCAAAGGCTAAGTTCTATTGCAAACATATTTTTAGGCTTTTTTCAAACCCGAAGATACAGGTAGAGGTATACTATTCATGTCATATTTAGGGAGAAAGCCTTATGGGACAAAAACTTGTTAGAAAGTAACCTTAGAGCTTGGGGTAGGGGGAGAGAGAGCAAGAATGGCAGAGATAAAGATCTCCTGATCTGAGGAGTGATAGGGGTATGTGGAATACAAGGAAAAGGCAACTATTCACAAGTCTTAAAATATTAAAACTATTTTAAATTTAATTTTAAAACTATTCACAAGTCTTCAGGAACTCACACCAGTTCCTGAAGTTGAGCCTTTATGTCCCCCATAAACACTTAACCCTTTTTCTTATTCCACCATATGCTGGAATAAACAAGCCATAGCATCACAGGTGGAGCTGGGAAATTGACAGTTGGATGTTCTCACCTTCCTTGAGTAGGGGATGTTCACTGAGATCAAGATTTCTTGAGGCTTAATATCTGCATTAGGGCACTTGCTGAGGAAATGCTCGCTTAAAGGAATCTGTCGTTTTCCTTCTGTGGAAAGAAATGATACTTTCCCTGGAATCTGTTTGGTCTATTAAATAAACTTCCAAATCTTGGGAAATAATTTGACCAAACACCTGAGGAAACTGGTTGTTAAGAGAAAGAGGTGCTCTTCCTACGCTTAGCAAATCTTTTACCCTATAAAGCATCTTGCAATGTTTCTTCTAGTCTACGCCCCATCTCTTTTTATTTTCTTTACTTTCTTATTGATCAAAACATCGACCGGGTGCAGTGGCTCACATCTGTAATCCTAGCATTTTGGGAGGCCAAGGCAGGTGGATCATTTGAGGTTGGGGGTTTGAGACCAGCCTGGCCAACATGGTGAAGCCCCGTCTCTACTAAAAATACAAAAAAAATTAGCTGGGCATGGTGGTACATGCCTGTAGTCCCAGCTACTCAGGAAGCTGAGGCAAGAAAATCACTTCAACCTGGAGGCAGAGGTTGCAGTGAGTCGAGATCACACCACTGCACTTCAGCCTGGATTACAGAGTAGACTCCAACTAAAACAAAATTTAGAATAAATAAATAGATAGGAACATCTAGCAGAGTAGCCCAGAGTTTCAGGTAGAATGGAATCTTAGCAGTCCTCCTCTTGACAGCGCAATTCACTTAAAGCTTTACAAGAAGGGAGTAAATACTAGTATCTCTTTTGATATTCCGATCAAGTCAGCCAACAAATATTTATTATTTGTAACCAGGAACCCTACTAGGGACAGTCATGAATAAGAAATTATCTTTAATAAATTTGTATACTAGTGAGGTGTTATTTTACTTTTTTATATCTTGTTCCAGTACCTAAAGAACCTTAGTTCTTTAATCAATATATCAGGAAGAGGAACAGTTTAAAACTATAACAAAATATGAGTTGGAGATGAAAGCTAAAGAGCTTTTGATGTCTATATTCACATCACAAAACCTGTTTCTCATAGTATGAGTTTTTAAGGGGATGTTACTTAAATTGAAAACTTTGAATGCAAATCTTCCTCTTTAAGATAGTTTTGCAGCCTAACGCCGTGGCTCATGCCTGTAATTCCAACACTTTGGGAGGCAGAGGCGGGTAGATCACCTGAGGTCAGGAGTTCGAGACCAGCTTGGTCAACATGGTGAAACATCATCTCTACTAAAAATACAAAAATTAGCTGAGAGTGGTGGCATGTGCCTGTACTGTCAGCTACTCAGGAGGCTGAGGCTGGAGAATTGCTTGAACCCAGGAGGTGGAGGTTGTATTGAGCTGAGATCGTGCCACTGCACTCCAGACTGGGTGACAGAGAGATTCCATTTAAAAAAAGAAAAGAAAAAAGATAGTTTTGTGGTTTAAATGACATGAAGAGTAAGTATTTCACGATGCTAGTGAAATGATATGATAGAAAGCTAGACCATATTTTTTAACAAAAAATTAAAACCCACAAATTTATAGAGGACCAATTAGAACTTCCTAATAATTTTCAAACAAATTGGAAGAAGCAATAAATTAAGTGTTGTGGACTTAGTTTCAATAACAAAAATCAAATAAATAAATAAATGTAGAATGAGGCCCAATCATTGTTCACCTGAAAAAGACTTGTATGTTTCCATCAATGATAAATTAAATATGAGCCCAAAGCACAATGTGGGTGCCATAACACTCCTGTACTACCTAGAGAATGTCTTCAACAAAGGGGCCAATAGTTTTCAATAGTATGTATTTCTCAGCAATAATCAGATCATATCTAGACATTAACCATCACAAACATGTGCACGGTAGGATGACCAGTATGAGAAAAAAAAAACAAAACAACAACAACAACAAAAACCTAGAAAGACACAGGGGAAGAACACCTGTGATATTAAGACAAGACTCACAAACCTTCCAGTATTCAGAAAAGCAGAGAAAATTATTGATATTATAGGGAAAAGTCATTTTCAGGACTGGACTTCCTACCTCCTCAGAGAGAAAAGGAGGTAGAAAAACAGCTGAATAATCCCCAAGTAGGGGCTGCCACTTACCTTTTGATAGCAAGTTGAGGGTACAGTTACCCACAGCCAGGAGGGGATTCAGATCTGAATCTGGATGCCTGCTAATGATGTGTCCCCCTAAAGACTTTTTAAAATAATGAGTTATTTTCATTTCAGTTATGTAATCATAAAAACACAAGTGCTGAAATAAGGATTAAGCAAGGCTTTGGATAACTATTTTTTTGGCTGTTCCAAGAGAATGAAAATGTCATGATTCATTAGAGAGAGTCACCCAAGGGATGCATACCAGAGTTTACTGTCATCAGATACATACAGCCATGTTTCTGATCTGGGACCCAGCTAGAGTTCTCAAATGCTTCATGAGAGCTTGGTACATCTGTGTCTTCTCTTCTGGAAGCTTCTGGACCACATCAGCCAAAATGTCCTTCACCTGGGCTAGGCTGAGACCAGCACCAAGGGTGAGTCCTGAAATGAAGTCATTTGTGAATAATGCAGTGTGATCACCGCTGACCTGAAAATGACCATTAGACCAAAGCTATAGACATAGAATCTTTGTACTGGATACATGCTGCCCTGCTTATTTGTGATGGTGGTAACAGGCAGTGATGGTGGTGGTGATGAAGGCAATGGTGGTAATGAAGGTGGTGGTGATGGGGTGGTGGTAGGGATAGCAGTAAGGGGGTGGTGTGGTGGTGGTAGTGAAGGTGGGGGTAATGGTGGTGGTGGCAGTAGTAATGGAAGTGGTGTTGATGGAGGTAATGAAGGCTGGATTCATTGAACACTCACTCTCTATCAAGTATTATGTTGAATGCTTTAGATAATCTCCTTAAATGTGGACAGACCTATGAGATATTAATAGCCCCATTTCACAGATGAAGAAACTGAGAGTTATTTAAGTAATTTGCCTAAGATCTGACAGCTAATATATGCCATCGTCAAGAGTTAGATTTCAAAGGCTGTACTCCAAACCCACATTAATATTGTTTCTCATCATTGCCATTAAATCAATTTCCTCCACAGGAATGGAAAAACCAGTCTGTAAGCTGTTTAATACATAAACTTGCTACTGGGGTTTTAAAGAGCAAAGACTGTGTTATGTTCATCTTTATCTTATGTCCAGCACTTAGCACTGTAACCTTCATTAAAAAGTTGTTATATTTCTCTGATAATGCAGACAGAGGAAGTTCTTCAGTAAAAATTGAACTATTCAGACAATTAGTATTCAGATTAAGAATTCTTCCCTGAGCCTTCCTCCAGAATGTTATCATTTCTGCTTTTTTAATGCTTTCTGTTCCCATTTTATTTATTTATTTTTAAATTTTACTTTAAGTTCTAGGATACATGTGCAGAATGTGCAGGTTTGTTACATAGGTACACATGTGCCATGGTGGTTTGCTGCACCTATCAACCCATCATCTAGATTTAAGCACCACATGCATTAGGTATTTGTCATAATGCTGTCCCTTCCCTTGCCCCCTACCCACTCACAGGCCTCGGTGTGTGTTGTTCCCTCTCTGTGTCCATGTGTTCTCATTGTTCAGCTCCCACTTATGAGTAAGAACATGTGGTATTTTGTTTTCTGTGCCTGTACTGCTTTGCTGAGAAAGATGGCTTCCAGTTTCATCCATGCCCCTGCAAGGGAGGTGATCTCATTCTTTTTTATGGCTGCATAGTAGTCCATGGTGTATATGTGCCACATTTTCTTTTCTAGTCTATCATTGATGGACATGTGGGTTGGTTCCCAGTCTTTGCTATTGTGAACAGTGCTGCAATAAACATATGTGTGCATGTGTCTTTATAATAGAATGATTTACAATTCTTTGGGTACATACCCAGTAATGGGATTGCCAGGTCAAATGGTATTTCTGGTTCTAGATTCTTGAGGAATTGCCACACTGTCTTTCACAATGGTTGAACTAATTTAAACTCCCATCAACACTGTAAAAGTGTTCCTATTTCTCCACAGCCTTGCTAGCATTTATTGTTTCCTGACTTTTTAATAATCACCATTCTGACTGGCATGAGATGGTATCTCATTGTGGTTTTCATTTGCATTTCTCTAATGATCATTGATGATGAGCACCACATCAAAAAGCTTATCCACCATAATCAAGTCAGCTTCATCCCAGGGATGCAAGGCTGGTTCAACATATGCAAATTGATAAGTATAATCTCTCACATAAACAGAACCAGTGACAAAAACCACATGATTATTTCAGTAGATGTGGAAAAGGCCTTTGATAAAATTCAACATCTCTTCATGTTAAGAACTTTCAATAAACTAGGTATTGATGGAACATATCTCAAAATAATAAGAGCTATTTATGACAAACCCACAGCCAATATCATACTGAATGGGCAAAAGCTGGAAGGATTCCCTTTGAAAACTGGCACAAGACAAGGATGTCCTCTCTCACCACTCCTATTCAACATTGTATTGGAAGCTCTGGTCAGGGCAATTAGGCAAGGAAAAGAAATAAAGGGTATTCAATTAGGAATAGAGGAAGTCATCAAATTGTCTCTATTTGCAGATGACCTGATTGTATATTTAGAAAACACCATCAACTCAGCCCAAACACTAATTGAGCTGATAAGCAACTTCAGCAAAGTCTCACAATACAAAATCAATGTACAAAAATCACAAGCATTCCTACACACCAACAATAGACAAACAGAGAGCCAAATCATGAATGAACTCCCATTCGAAATTGTTATAAAAAGAATAAAATACCTGGGAATACAACTCACAAGGATGTGAAGGACCTTTCCAAGGAAAACTACAAACCACTGATCAAGGAAATAAGAGAGGACACAAACAAATAGAAAAACATTCCATGCTCATGAATAGGAAGAATCAATATCGTGAAAATGGCCATACTGTCCAAAGTAATTTATAGATTCAATGCTATCCCCATCAAGCTACCATTGACTTTCTTCACAGCATTAGAAAAGACTGCTTTAAATTTCATATGGAACCAAAAAGATCCCATGTAGCCAAGACAATCCTAAACAAAAAGAACAAAGCAGGAGGCATCATGCTACCTGACTTCAAACTATACTACAAGACTGCAGTAACCAAAACAGCATGGTACTGGTACTAAAACAGATATATGGACCAATGGAACAGAACTGAGACCTCAGAAATAAAACCACATATCTACAACCAACTGATCTTTGACAAACCTGACAAAAACAAGCAATGGCGAAAGGATTCTCTATTTAATAAATGGTGCTGGAAAACTGGCTAGCAATATGCAGAAAACTGAAACGGAACCCCTGTGTTACAAGTTATACAAAAAGTAACTCAAGATGGATTAAAGACTTAAGCGTAAGACCCAAAACCATAAAAACCCTAGAAGAAAACCTAGGCAATACCATTCAGGACATAGGCATGGGCAAAGACTTCATGACTAAAACATCAAAAGCAATTGCAACAAAAACCAAAATTGATAATTGAGATCTAATTAAAGTAAAGAGTTTCTGTATAGCAAAAGAAAGTAGCATCAGAGTGAACAGGCAATCTGCAGAATGGGAGAAAAATTTTGCAATTTTTCAATTTCAAAATTTTGCAATTAGACCCATTGACAAAGGTCTAATATCCAGAATCTAAAAGGAACTTAAACAAATTTATAAGAGAAAAACAACCCCATAAAAAATGGGCAAAGGATATGAACTGACACTTCCAAAAGAAGACATTTATGTGATAAACAAATACATGATTCTTATAAGAAGAGAATTTCTGTGTGTATTATAACTAGGAATCATTCTTTTCCTGCTTGTCTGCTGGGCAAGGTAAATTGATTAATGCATATTAACTAAGAAAATAGGGACTTAAGAACTCACCATTAGACGCATGGATTACAACACTCAGTTCTTCAATTCTATCAGGAGAAATTATAACTGGGTGAAAGACACCTTTAAATTTCACTTCAGGCCCTAAAGGATAAAAAAATAATAATAAGACTAGAATAAAGGCATTAACTGCCTTTTAAATTTGAAATTATTATTAAACTAATACCTTTAAATATATAAAAATTTGTATTCATCTGTTTATTGCCAAATCACATACAGAGAGAATGGCTGGATAGATTTTCATTAAACTTGGAAGACCCTGGAATTGTCAACCTTGAAACTTGGGCCATATGGTATGCTCAGAATTCTCTCTGGGAAGACTCTAAGGGCTCCTCAACCTGAGCAAACACTGGATACAACAGGAAGACACTGTAACTGCTGTTTAAGTAAAACGTGTTATACCTATTGAGACACCCTGAGAGAGGAAAGAAAGAGCAATTTCAAATTTGAGGCCCAGGTCAATCCCCAAATGGAAAGACAAGACAGCTGTCACTGGAACTGCTGCTGCTGGTTTGCTATGGAGCAAGCCCCTTGGGTGCAACTCTGCACACTACTCCGATGACAGGCGAGAAGGATTTACTTAATACTAGTTAGAAAGTCTCTTGAGCAAGCTCAGGAAGTCTAGCCCAAAAGATTTAAAATGCTATTTCAGACTGCTTTTCCTGAGAACACATGTATATGAAGTTTCCCTGCCCCCTCCGGCCCCACCCTAAGCTCTTTTCCTCAATTTCCCTATAAGAAGTCCCTGGGGTTCTACATACCCACGGAGGTGTTTCCCATAACAACAGGGGCCTGGGGATACTTGAATTTCAATTCCAGCAGTTCCTTCAGGGTCACGGGGGAAAACCATGCCATTCTCTCACCGCCGAACATCCTGGTCCTTTGGGGCTGTTTCTCAGCCATTATCTATTGAAAAAGCAATTGGTGCCATTTCCACCTGTTTCCACTCAATCATTAGCATTGTAGAAACAGAAAGAGAAAATACACATCACTAAAAAATAAAGTACAAAGTGACCTAAAAGTAGAGCTTTACAAGGAATCAGAGTTCAGAATAAAAGCACAACAGTTCTTTACTCCAGGGAGCTGCTCAGTCTATCTCCCTTTAGTGTTCTTATGTCTCAGAGAACTTCATTTTAATGTTTGCAAATATAGTAACATGCTGAATCTTGTTAAATCATTCCATGGAGGAATAAACTTCAGCAAAAGTGGAAGTAGGAAACATGTCTACACAGTGTGTGAACCCACACACTGATTTCATGATTTTGTAGATGCTGTCTGCTGCTTCTTACAGTCAGTTCAGCTGTCCCCTCATGGTGACCCCATCTCATTCCTCCTCTTCTTTCTCAGTCCATACTTTTTAGGCCTTGAGATAAGGATGACAGAGAGGCCTTACCTATTTGCCAATCAGCTTTTGAGAGAATCCATAAGCAAATACCCTTCCTGATATTTCACCATGAATTCTTCCAGGATGAACTCAACATTGCTTTACTTACCATTAGCTCAGGAGGAAATATCAGTTCCTGGGTTGGATCCAATGGCAGAAACTCCTCTTCTGTGAAGAGTTTTGGACTTGTCTTAAGAAGAGAACATATCAGAAGTTATTGTTATCAAGCAACTTTAAAATCCTTTGTGGAATAAGGCAAAAGATAGACACATGGTCAGATACAGCAAACCGACAAAAAAGTCTAGTGGCCAGCCATAATCCCTGAGCTCCAAAGCAAGGGCTCTGACACAAACCTGGTCATCAGCAACTCAGTGCTGATGCCAATGTGCCTCTGGAGGACTCAACTCCCTGCACATTCTCTTTGGAGTCTGGGGACAGCAGAAGAGGAGGTGGCAGCAGCACACACAGCTGAAATAAGAACAGCTCCCTGAACCGCTCCTGTCTCTACTCGCTCTACCTGTACTTTCATTTCCATGACGTCTCCACTTTACTTCTGGCCCTTGGAAAATAACTTGAAAAATGCTTTTAAAAATTAAGAGACACTAAGGAACCAATGTGTTTTCCTTCCTGTAGATAACTGTATTTAAATGGGAATAATATCTGGAATGAGGACAAAATTGCTATGACAGAATTTTTTTTTTAGAGAGATGGAATGAGAATGAGAGAGAGCACATGTTGACACACCTCAAAGTACTCAACTTGGGTAGCCATTTATTTATCCTAAGAGTATGTTGGCTCATGCTCATGTCCTGAGAAAGCCTTGTAAAAGCTCTGCATTTCACTGACCTCACTTCCTTCCTCAAATTCTGGCAATTCATTGATTCCTTGATCCAAACAGCAAATCCCATTTTCTTTACTTTGACAGCAACCTGAAGTCTAGTGGACAAAAAACAAATCACTAGGAATTTATTGCTGATTCTACTAAGTAGTAAATAAAGCAGGTGAGTACCAGTTGAAACATAACGCTGAATCAATATTGTTAGATGCCGTGAAAGAGAGCCATTTGTACTTAAACATATCCAAACTAATTTTAATGAAAAACCAAAGCTAATAGGAAATTTTGAATAGCAGTGATTATGAAATAAGTTAAAACACATAAATACCTTATAACTAAGCCTGGCACATAGAATTAAATATTAATAAAATATTAATAATGATTAGTTAATATTTTTAGTATTTTAAATATTAATAAATATTAACAAGTATTATTACTGTCATCTCTGTTCTTGTCTATGACATACTAATTTCATAGTTTAACATCCAAAGGGCAATCTTATACCCTTCATCACAACCTTGTTTGTTCATTTATTCATTCAACAAATATTGAGTATTTATTGCACCATATAGTCATTGACCAGCAATACTCAATGACGATATGGTGATTGGACTCGGAGACATACAGCCTCTGGTGTGAAGCAGCCCACAGTCTGGTGATGAGATGGGATAGCAAATGATCAGTTGTACCACACTGTGACCAAAGCTGTGATGGGACATGCAGATGCCCATTCCATGTTCGCAGAGGCCTATAGGAACACCAGGGCAGGGCATCTGACCCAAGCAAAGAGGTCAGGAAAGACCTCTTGGAAGCAATGACACACAGCCAATGTCAAAATGCTCGGGTGTTCATTATGTGACTACCAAGGCAAGCTCAATGAATGAGGGTAAGTGTCCTGGTCAAGATCAAATAACAAACAGCAGCTAGAAACCTTGAGATAAGAAGTCGCCAGGTATTAGTAAGATGGCTGTCCCCCTAACCACTGACAACCCCTACCATTCTGTTTCATTGGGGAAAGCATACTCAAACATGTGGTCCTTTCCACTTACTTTACAGAAAGTCTTGCATGCATCAATTATGGGCCTGTATCCAGTGCAACGGCACAGGTTACCTGAAGGAGAAAAATCCAGCTCTGTTAACCAAGTGACCCAGATAAAGGCACTGTCTACCAAGAGTGTGACGGAAGTAAAGACCCTATCATAGAGGAAAGCTCTGTTTGACATTTTAGTCCACCTAATCTACAAAGTCAGATCTTTTCATCAGCAACTTGGGATATTTAATTAAGAATCTTGAGGCAGATTTTAACAACTCAGGCATTTGTGCTTTCTCCTATAAAGTTGTTAATGCCTTCTGCTTGTGATAGGTGCTTGAACAACACAATGATTTCAAGCCAAAAACTTGCTTTACAGTCACATTCAAGAGCTAAGCCTCATTTTTTAAAAAAATTATTTATTTATTTACTTATTTATTTATTTTGAGACAGGGTTTCACTCTGTCGCCCAGGCTGCAGGTACAGTGGTTCAATCTCGGCTCACTGCAACTTCTACCTCCTGAGTTCAAGCGATTTTCCTGCCTCAGACTCCCGAGTAGCTGGGACTACAGGCACACACCACCAGGCCAGGCTAATTTTTGTATTTTTAGTAGAGATGGGGTTTCACCATGTCAGCCAGGCTGGTCTCAAATTCCTGACCTCAGGTGATCAAATTCCTGCACCTTGGCCTCCCAAAATGCAGGGATTACAGGTGTGAGCCACTATGCCCAGCCAGCCTAATTTTTCTTTAAAACAACAAAATCCATTTTATTGAGCTGTTATTGACACACAAGAAACTGCACAACTTGGTAAATTTGGAGATAAGTCTTACACCCATGAAACCATCACCACAGTCAATGCTATAAACATATCTATTACCTCTAAGTTCCCTCCCACCATTTATTTATTTGTTCATTTATTTTGTGGTTACTACAACATCTGCCCTTTTAGCAAATGTTTGAGTATACAATACAGTGTTGTTAACTATAAGCATTATGCTGTACAGTATCTCTAGGACTCATTCATTTTGCATAACTAAAACTTTTTACCTTTGACCAATACCTCTTTGTTTTCTCCTTCCCCAGGCCCTGGTAATCACCATTCTATTCTCTGCTTCTATGAGTCTGACTACTTTAGATTCCTTGCATAAGGGATCATGTAGCATTTGTTCTTCTGTGCCTGGTTTATTTCACTCAGCATAATGTCCTCCAGTTTCATTCATGTTGTTGCAAATGGCAAGCTTTACTTCTTTTTCTAAAGAAAAAAACCCTCATTCTTAACACTTACTGTGACAGTTACCAATTTATTGAAAAAAAAAAAAAAGAGCACTCTAAGCTTCAGCTGATAGAAAGATCAAAGTTATTATACAGCAGCTAAGGTAGTTATTAAACTGTGAAAGCATCAGGTGTATTTATTTACAATAAATCATTAGGCCAGCATTTCTCTCACAGTATGGTCCTATGTTCCTCCTCCACCCCCAAATCTGAAGTCTTATTTAAAAAACAATATTGCTGAGTCAAACTCTCTAGGGGTGGGTCCCAGGAATCTTTATTTCCCACAAATTCCCATGTATGATCTACGTACCCTGAAATCTGAGAACCCCTTGTCACTTATTTACATCATATACAGCCATGAAATCAAATTCATGATAAGACCTAAAGGAAATCAGGCAGAAGACAGTTTATGAGCAATGTTTCTCCTATGTCCATTTGTTCTGATTTTCCCTGGAACATTTTTGCAGAGTAAGTGTACATATGAGCTTTAGGCTCATGTTCTCCAGCAGAGAAGTGAGGTCTTCAGGAGGCCTGAGACAAAGACAAACAGAGCCATGGAGAATTTCACCAGAAATAGGACTTGAGAGGGTATCATTTAAAAAACTTGTTTAGAATCTTGTTGATGTGGATATCCCCCTGCCACATACACACTGAGCTCTTGAACTTGACAAAATCACTCTAGAGTGGATAGAGACCGTTCTTTGCAATAAGTATCAAGTATCACCATAAGTTCTCAGTCTCTGACTTCATGTGTATCCATCAGCAGCCCTCTGATGCTGAATATGGTCCTGAAAGCACCCACCCAGTAGGGAGAGTGGTAAGGGAGCAGCATGTGGAGATAACAGGACTCTTCCCAAGGACTGATGAATAACTGGCTTTTCAATGATTATGAAAACAAGCAAAAGATACTTCAGAAATATACCAGCCAAATGCAATGTGTGGGTCTGGTTTGAATCCTGATTTGAACAAACTGATTCTTCCACTTATTGGGGGTATAACTTTGAGCAAATCACTCTCCCCAAACCTCAGTTTCTCCATTAATGAAAAGAGGAAAATAATAATACTATCTTATAAAATTTTGTGAAGATTAAATGAGGTAATCTTCAAATAGTATTTAATGTAGTGTCTGTCACATGAATGGTATCCAGTATTAGCTGTTGTTATCATTATCATCGTCATCGTTTAAAAATAAAAGCACGCGGGAGGCTGAGGCACGAGAATCCCTTGAACCCTGGAGGTGGAGGTTGCAGTGAGCCAAGATTGCACCACTGTACTCCAGCCTGGGCAAGAGTGAGACTCTTTCTCAAAATAAAAATAAAAAGTAAAAACAAAAAGCATGCACATATAACCTACCACCAAGGGCATCAGTTAATTGATCCAGAGTGGGCTCTGGGTGGTTCCTGAGCAGGGTGTAGATGGACATCACCATCCCAGGTGTGCAGAAGCCACACTGCGTGCCGTGACACTTGGCGATCCTCTCCTGGAAGCACAGAAAGGTTAGGAATGCAGAATCTTGGGCCCCATCCCAGGGCTAGTGAATCAGAGCCTGCATTCCAGCAACATCCCCAGGTGGTTCGTCTGCCTGCTAATGCTGCAGCAGAGGCCCCTGAGAACCCTTCTTATCCTAGGTGCCTCCCACCCCAGGGCTGGGTTGTTGTTAGGTTGGGCCTCATCTGCTTTCCAGCTTCACTTAAGGAAGTGGTTGTCAGTCTTGAGAATCACCCGGAGAGTGTTAAGATTTCAAGCTCCACACAGCACCACAAACCAACTGACAGAGTCTCTGGGAACCCGGCACAGGCATACATCTTTTAAAGATTCCCAGATGGTTGGTTTCAATGTGCAGTTGTGACTGTGAATTACTGAGATAAAGGAAGTCCTTCAGAGAAGTAAATCAAATTACACTCAAGTTGAGAAGTGAAACAAAAAGTAAAAATAAAAATAAAACATAAAATCCTTTTTTTTTAAATATACCTTTCTCTCTCCCTAGCATTTTTGCTTTGGAGTCTAACTTCTAAGATTGAAGTCGATTTTGGAAGTTGTCTTTGGGAAACATTGTAACAGTGGGAGTTCTATGTCAATTGGGAAATGAAAGGGTGTTATATGCTTGTGTTTGACCAGGTCTCACATGGGCATCCAGGCAGAATTCTCTCCCTCTAGCTAATCTTTCATAATGATGTAGGCAAAATTCTCTCCCTCTAGATAATGATCTTTCAAATAAACAGAATCCAAGATTCCTTCAAATCTAGAAAATTTGAATAGGCAATTTTCTATGTTGTTCCTATCTTTTCCTCATATGAGATCTTCATTAACTTCAATAAAAAATGAATATAAATGGCAATTTTTTTTTTTTTGAGATGGAGTCTTGCTCTGTCACCAGGCTAGAGTGCAGTGGCATGATCTTGGCTCATTGCAACCTCTGTCTGCCAGGTTCAAGCGATTCTCCTGCCTCAGCCTCCCGAGTAGCTGGGACTACAGGTGCACACCACCATACCCAACTAATTTTTATATTTTGGTAGAGATGGGATTTCACCATGTTTTTCAGGATGGTCTCTATCTCTTGACATCGTGATCAGCCCACCTCAGCCTCCCAAAGTGCTGGGATTACAGGCATGAGCCACTGCACCTGACCTAGAAATGACATTTTTATGGGCAACATATACATCAAGAGTCAGGTGTCTGAAGATGCCTTTTCACTTGAGGCTAAAACTCAAACAAGGTGCTTCTTTAGGAGAAAAGCCAAAAAATTTATTGACAGCTCCTATCATCTGCCTTCCAAACAAGCTCTAAGTATAAAAAAAAGTAGCTGAGATTTTCACTCAGCCTTAAGATCATGTTATTTACACTTTATTAAAAAAAAAACACAATAAAATTATATCCCGCAATGCACATGGTTCTTTTCTTTTTCTTCCTTCCTTCTTTCCTTCCCCTTCCCCTTCCCTCCTTCTTTCCTTCCCTCCCTCCCTCTCCTTCCTTCCTTCTTTCCTTTCTCTCTCCCTCTCCTTCCTTCCTTCCTTCCTTCCTTCCTTCCTTCCTTCCTTCCTTCCTTCCTTCCTTCTTCCTTCCTTCCTCCCTCCCTCCCTCCCTCCCTTCTTCTCCTTCCTTCCTTCCTTCCTTCCTTCCTTCCTTCCTTCCTTCCTTCCTTCCCTCCTTCCCTCCCTCCTTCCCTCCCTCCCTCCTTTCTTCCTTTCTTTCTTCCCTTCCTCCTTCCCTCCTCTCTCTCTCTTTCTCTCCTTTTCTTTCTTTCGACAGGGTCTCACTCGGTCGCCCAGGCTGAAGTACAGGGTACAATCATGGTTTACTGCAGCCTCAACCTCCCAGGCTCAAGTGATTCTTTCACCTCAGCACCCTCGAGTAGCTAGGATTGCAGGTGCTCACCACCATGCCCAGCTAAATTTTGTATTTTTTGTAGAGATGTGTTTCACCATGTTGTCTAAGCTGGTCTCAAACTCCTGGGCTCAAGCAATCTGCCTGCCTTGGCTTCCCAAAGTGCTAGGATTACAGGTGTGAGCCACTACACCTGGCTTTTGTTCCTTTATGAGCTTGGAAAATAGATCCCATCTAATTAGAACACAGAAAACAAACCCACAAATGTCAGGGTTTTCTTAGAGAAGAAAAATTTTTCTGGGCTTCCAAAAGCATCTTTCAAAGAAGTTAGTCATGAACACTCACATATCCCAATATACCAGGCTTTGCTCTTATTCCCAGTTAGGCTGTATCTGTTAGAGTGGCCAAGCAGCAGGCCAAGCTGCTCCGTTCTCTTAATTTCAGGGACTCAATGTCATGAGGTTTCTAAGGCACAGAAACTCCATAAGGAAGAGGCACATCCTCACCTGAACAGGATGAATTCTGGTGTGGGTACTTCCTATGCCTTCTACTGTGGTGACAGCAGCACCATACAGAGAACAGATGGGAATCAGACAGGCATTGGCTGGGTGATGCCTTCAGAATGCAAAAGAAAAGCACAAATTACAAGTTACTTCACATCCAGTGGGAAAGGGTCCAGACATTCACTGAGCTTCTCCACTGTGGCAGGTTTTTGTATAATGTCCTCAGGTTTTGCACAAACATTGTGTCCTTAGCTCAGGCCCATTTTTTTAATACAAGTGGAATCTGAGGATCAGTGATTTACTCAGGGTCACAGTCAGAATGTCAGAGGCAGGATTAAAATTAGGCCTCCTAATTCTAATTCCAGGGTCTCACTTGTCAAAAACTGTCGAAACTTTGATGGTTTTTCCTCGAGAATGTTCAATGAGGGGTTGACATTCTCTAGTCACAGGTAACCACCCAACTGTGGCAGGCCAGGTCTCCATTAGCAACCAGAGCAGTCAGCCTTCACCAACACCTCACTGTCACTCTCTTGAATGTAGAAGGTAAACATTAAAGAACTGGAGAAATTGGTGCCTTAGTACAAAAGCCAGAATGTAAAAACAAGGCCATTAACACCCTGCCTGGGTTTCCTCAGAACTTAAGAGTTCAGTTAAACTAATGGAGACGTTCTTACACATCTTGTACACCTTGTACACCTTGTACTAGGATCTACTTTAGACTAAGTCATTCTTCCAAGGCTCTGAAGTAATTGTCTAGACCCCAGGCCCTAGTTAAAGATTAGACAGAGTGAAACACTTTGGCTTTCAGTTTGTAGGTACACTGAATGTATATAAGCACTAGGAAAAAACCAGTAACTTAGAATTGTTCTGGTGAGTTATTTCGACCTTCTCCCTGTACCTGGTTGCAGAAATAAACTCCTTTCTTTCCCAGCCTGTCTGCTTCTTGTTTTTAGACCACAAGAACAAGCCTCCAGACCTCATTCTGTCTGGGAACACACACACCTAGAGCTCATTCCATCTTCCAGGCAGATGCTGGACCAGGGGTTGGTTGAGCAATAAAATAAAAGTGATACCATGCTTCAGAAGAAGAAACAGGGTGTGGGATCCAGAACTCCTCAATCCCACAGGATCACTGCTAGAAAATGTCCAGCTCACAATGACTCCTAAGTATTCTCATTCACCAAACAGAACTATGAATGTCCAATAAACACATGAAACAAGTATTCAACCTTAAAAATCAAGGGAGACTCAAGCAGTGAGAAACACGATTTTTGTCAAAAAATGATAAACGTTTTTAATATTTGTAACATCTATTAGTAGCAATGGTTTGGGAAAATGAGACTCATACTGCTTGTGAGAATGGAAACTGAGTTCTCCCTAAGAACTGCTGAGAGACATTTCACAGGAAGACAAAAACAAACCTTTAAAATGCACACTCTCTTTTACACATTGCAATTCTACCTGTACGGATACATCATAAGGAAATAATCATAGACATAAACGTATCTATAGGAGTGTTCATTGATGCATTACTCATACTAATAAAAACTAAAAATAATCTAAGTTAACAGTATTTGGAGGTTGGTTTTGGTATGCCCAAAAGATGGAACATACACAGCCATGAATGAATTTATTATTATGATAAAATATTAAGGAGAAATTAACAAAATATACAGCTTTTAAACAGTATGTACAGTATGCTTTAATATGTATATACACAAAAGAAAGATTCAAATGATATTACTCATTTATAAATAAGTGCAAATATTTATTGAGTGCCTCCTATGTGCCAGGCAGAGTTCCACATGCTAAAATTCACTGGTGAACAAGATAGATAAAACCTCTGCCCTTGTACAGTGCATATTCTAGTTGAAGGAAGGTAGCACATATGTATATGGACAATACACACATACAAATGTATTAACTGAAATGTTGAGAAGTGCTATGAATACATTAATACAGGCTAACACAATGGAGAGTTGTAAAGGTGAGGTGGAGCACAGCTATTCAGTAGGTGATCAGGGAGGGTTGAGAATTTAACTTTATAAAATCTGAATGATTTGAAGGGGCCAGACATGGAAGGCAGTGGGACAAAACACACACTTAGGCCCTGAGGCAAGAATAAGTGTGGGATGTTTAAGTACAGAAAGAGGGATTAAAAAAAAAGTCCGGTGAGGCAGGAACACAGTGAATGCAAGGGGAGTAGTGTTACTAAGGGTTAGAGAGACAGGCAGGGGCCAGGTAGGTAATGGTAAAGGCTTGATAGTAAAGGCATGGAGTTTACTGATAAGCGAGCTTTCAATTTAGATGTAGAAAGTTGTAAGAGACTGTCACTGTCACTCTAAAAAACAAACTAAACCATAAGAGGAACATAACCACATATTTTTAAAACTCATCAGATGCTGAGTACATAGAGAAACTTTATGAGTAAAACTTAATAAATGAGCTAAACTCTGTTATGTGACAACCCCTTCATAAGAGAGAAGATACAACTGCTCTCATCCCTGAATTACAATTATGCTCTTCCCGAAATTGAAGGAGGAAGAGGAAACTGCCTTAAACAGGAATAAGGAGAAAGCAGACCAACTTTCAACAAAGTTTGGATGGTTTCATGTGGGCTGATAACAACAGATGGAAATACAAAGCTGGACTGCATTATTTCCAATCTCTTCCCTACCAGAGATCACTGAGTGCTGGGAGTACTTCCCCAAAAATAGGCAGGGAAGGAGAGCTAAAATAAGCTCTTCAGGCATACTGGCCCTTAAACAAAGAAGGCTGGGGGAAAGACAGGATACCTGAGAGAAAACCCTACATACTCAGACTTCACAGAGTATAGAGCAGTCACCACTCTCTAGAGGCTATAGACAGAGTAGCATGGCTGCCAGAGATCTCCCAAAGCATGGAAGGTGAGATAGGCAAGAAAAGAGAAATCCCCAGTGAACTAAAAAGCTGACAGCTAGGCTGTAAAGTAGGGAGGAATGTCTCCGAGTTCAGATAGCAGGTGGTTTGGTTGTGGAACACAGGCAGATACCTGAAACCTCATCAGTGCTCAGATCCTTAGGCTTCAATTGAGATCTGTGAAACGATGCAAAATGTTCTAACATAAGCGTAATTGGAGTCCCAGAAGAACAGAGGGAAGAATATGTGGCACAGAGTAAATATTTGAAGAGATAATGCTTGAGAAGTTTCCAGAGACATCAACACACAGAAACCTGGCCAAGAAACCTGGCAAACCTGAAGAAGGATAAATACCAAACATAAACAGATGTTAAACATAATGGGAAGCCATTGGTGGCTTTTATGTAGGAGAATGACTTGATCTGATGATAATTAAAGCAGAACACTCTGGCTGCTGTATAGAGAATGCACTAGATGGGAACAAGGAGGTAAATTAGGGACTGGAAGAGTATATATGAGTGTGATGACAGCATTATTCTCCACTGCAATTTCAGCCTAGCCTTTCCTCACCAGACAGGGAGTCAGGCAGCCATTCAACTTTTGACAGGGGATTTTTGTTTTTCTTAGACAAGGTTTTGCTATGTTGCCCAGGCTGGACACAAACTCAAGCAATACTCCTGACAGCCTCTCAAGTAGCTAGAAATGCATGCCACTGTGCCTGGCTTTGATGGAGAATTCTTTGACTATGTTATCCTCACTTATGCTACATTTCTCTCCCAATACTTTCATATTCCTGGGACCACGTCTTTCTTGGTCATCATTGCACCCCTAGTGTCCAGTTCTTTTCACATGGTAGGTACTCAATACATATTTACCAAATGAAGGAATATAACAAAGTTCAAAATTATAAAAATTCAACCATATCTGGACTTTGCTACACGGTACCTTATTCTCTTGGTGATGGGGTTATATCGTGATATCATCACTGTACATGCACCACAGCCTCCTCCTCCACAGCCATACTTGGTTCCTGTGAGTCGGACTGGAAGAGGCATAGTTAAAGATCATATGTGTTACATAATTCTCTTTCTAGAATAGCCCTGCCAGTAGGAGACAGCAACACCAAAGACTCTTAAATGTACAGTTAAGTTCAATACGTATTCATCACATGATGTATGTATGTCTTACTATTATAATACAGCAGCTATAATATATAATCTTGTAAATTCTTGATTTTTTGTGTATGGTATATCTTGTATCCTCCCTTTGAAAACAATTGGACCTCAGGTTGCCAAAAATAGGGCGGAACTGAAAAAAGAAGAGTCTATGTATGAAGGGCTTAAGTATTTGAAGGTATGAATACATTGCACATTTATTCTCAATCTTATCTCTGTCTTTAATGACACAAAGCAAAATGTTAAATTGTAGATAATTCTTGGAATATTTGTGTCATGTTAGCCATGTTTGTATATTTCTCTGCCTTTCAGTGGCAGATACTGCCATCTGTTCCCTAATATCTGTTCTCTTATTATTCCTTAGAAATAGAAACCCTGATTTTTAGCCATACACAGGGCTTCCCAGAGTAAAAAATATACTTTCCCAGCCTCCTCTACAGCTAGATGGAGTCAATAACATTGCTGGCTAATAGGATGTAATTATAAGTGTTGTGTACGACTTCCAGGAGAAAAGTGCCCTCAAAAGGAGAGAGGGACTTCTTTCTTTGCTCATTACTTCTTCCTGTTTGCTGGAATTCAGATATGAGGGCTGGGCCTCCATTAGTCATCTCTGCTGTGGGGAGAAAGCTGCATGCTGAGGAAGGTGCTGCTTGGTTCCTCAACAACGCTGTGACACTGCTTTACCAGCCTTGATCCTCCTACTTGTGGGCTTTCCTTATGAGAGTGTGATAGCCATGTAAACACACCTCACAGACCTCCCTTCAACATGGAGGGTAACTGACCAAGAGATCCTGCTGCTGCACTTTGATAGTGATCACTTCGGTTTTCATTAAGGCCATGCCTCCCATGGACTGCCCTTCACCAATGGCTTAGTGCTATGGAGAGACAGGAAGTCCTTGTCAACCATCCCAGTGGTTCTGAAGAATATGCCTTACACAAACCAGCAGTCTAGGGACCTTTCACTCAATCTTATCTCCAGGGTCAGACTTGCATGGTGATCAAATGGCTCCCTAAGCCTGCTCTGACTCCCTCCCTACTTCCTTTCCCACAGGCACGTCTAATAAAATCCTGGCACATTTAATCCCATTTTTGGTGTCCACAATCCTGAAGAATCTGAACTAACACAGTGAAAAAGAAAGAAAACTTCTACCTTCTATCCTGTTTACCATGAGGTGGGGTTTTCCGTCACTCATGGTGAACCAAACTTTAAATATTACACATAGGTACTGTGGATAATCAGGAAGTAACGTTCATTGTTTTTATGTCTAAATATCTTGACTGAATTTAATGAGCATATTTCAGAAACATTCATGTGTCTGAAAAATAATTACTGATGATTTGGAGTTGTTTACTCTTTTGGTAATTTTACCATTTCCAGGGGAAAAATGTACACACCCCCATTGAAACATAATTTTGCATATAATTCAGTAGTGTCTGCTACCCTCTGGTAGCCTACTGGAGTTCATGCTAAAAATCCATTCCCTACATGCCTTTTATTTGGAAAGTTTTTCTAGGATAACATTTTCAGGTTTAGTTTTTCCATTTATCTTTTACTTTCATTTCAGGTGACTTCTGTGCTCTCTTTTTCTAATGGGCACAATAATTAGTTCTTAAGGACAGAATATAAATATTGTGACTGTTAGTTCTAAAGGATGCTTAATTAGGTCCTTTTTAAAGTTTCCATTGCTAGTTTCTCCATTTTATACAGAGACTAGAAAAGAATTGGTTCTTCTGACAGCCAAATGTGTGTACTGCCTATAAAACTAAAAGATAGGGCTTTCTCAAAGATGGACATAAAACCATGATAGTAGGGAATATGTCTCAGTGTCTATAAAGGCATGTTTGAAATATCATTTAATGAGGAAACTGGAGTCATCCAAATACGCACATGCATACACACTCAAAGTGAAAAGGATACGCTTCTTCCTCAGATAAGGCAACAGCATTGTTTCAGGATCAACATTTTTTTCTGTCACCTATACCAAAGGGAAAATAAGAGTTACCCACACAAAGTTGAGAGAGCTAATATGAAATTCACATTGGCAGGATCACACCAATTTGAACGAAATTCGTGTTAATTAGCTCTTCTACTCATATATTCAAGTAGATTTCAGCTTTATGGAACACCTGTGATATAGGAACCACCTCTCTTAGGTGTAACCTTGAGCCCCACCACGATCATGCTACTGTCCTTGGTCTTGAATTATCGCTATTATCTAAGGCATTTGCTGTTTCCACTAACAGGAACATTTGCTCCTGTCCAGTTTTTTCCTAGAATGTCTAAAGCAAGTGAGAGTAAAGACATTAGTAGAACAGCTCAGACTAGAGAGATAGAGAGAGGAGAAGATGAAATAAGAAAGGAAAGGAGGGAGGGGAATTGCTGGAATACAATAGCCTCTGAGAAACTGACATAGTTAATTTTTAAAATACTTGTCTATCTTGTTCAAATAATTCTGGTTTCCAGTAAAAGACAACCAGCCATGGCCCCAATCAAATAAACACAGGGGAAGATAAAACATGTATGCTAAGAGATGCAAAGCTGCACAGCAAAGACACACTTAGGCAAGTTCATGGGAGCAGCCTGGCAGTGCAGCAGTGGAACAGCAGGCTGTCTTTTCCCAAGGATGACATAAAAATGTCATGATTGTGTTTTCCAAAGTGATTGTTTTCTCTTTTTTCACTAAAATCTTGACATTTCTTTTAGATTCACAGAACACATAGAAGCATGACTTGCTTTGCCATTCCAGAAGCTGAACTCATCTTTCACCATATTATGGTAATTTTCCGTTCTGGGAAGTAGGTGAGGAGTGGACAAATGCTTATTCTAGGGCTGCTGCCTCATCCTCAATTCTAAGAGGCCGTATGCCATGCAAGGTGAGGGGTATGGCAATTGCCAAGGTCAGATCTGTGCCCTAGAGGAGTCTGCAACATAGAAAGATGTGTGTGTGTGTGTGTGTGTGTG